CAATGAAACAGAGCGCATCCATGACTGTGCATCTGTGGCAACGTGTCCTTGGTAATTGCACCTGATGTAACGTCAAGCCAATGCATCCTTCCAGAACATACGGGCTGTTTTTAACTGAACGATCGAAGATTTTATAGCATGGAGAGAGTCTGGCATAGTTTTGAATAAAACGTAATGTTTTCGCAAAAATAATTGAGAACTGTTTTTTTTGTACAAACCAAAACAAGATGAATTTCCTGACAAATGTTGTTTTGTGAAATAAATGTTAGGCTAAGACAGTTAATGCAGTAATAAGTAGAGGTTATTAGCTGTGCGTATTTCCGTAAGGTAAATATCCTATATAAGTAACACGTGATGAAAGCCTGGTGCGAGTCTAGTACTTGTTTTCTTTCCTACCATATGAGGTTTACGATGCTGGAACACAACAAGGTAATAATCTCTTTATTATATAATGACATTTTAAAATAATTGATGTTTGAGACGTAATTCTCACACAAGGGAGAAAACCTTTAGACACAGCGTATGAATACAAATTCTGTGTGAGTCGTCCCATTGATTATAACAGAGGTAAACGTTTTACAGTATTGTTTGTCGACAGAACCACCCACACATCAAGACACCCCTACCTAAACGTAGTGGGAACACAAACAAATACTGTATTTAGTAAGCAGGCACGGCATTGTTGTCAGGAGCATGAAAGTAGTTCCTGTTACATGACCTCGTTTACATATTTATGGGATCATGATAATGGTATACGTATGAGTAAGAAATAATAGAGAATATTTTCATTACAATTTAGTTTAGTCTCATCATCGTTTTTGTACTAATGGTATCATTTATTGACTCAAGGTAGTGGTGAGCTAGAGCCAATTTAACTTAAACTTATGACTATCGTTGAATCGCATCATCATTTTGGCATAAAAAATTCCATCTGTAGTGGTGATATAGGTATATAAATCTGGCTCCAGTGGAGGTGCGGCAGAAGCCCTCTTACCTATACTACTCACCAAGTGTATGCGATTGGTTTACGGCACCGCTGACACTCTCCGTCACATAATAAATATTATGTCGCTAAAATACATCCGTAACTCCACCTTCCGCCCTCCATCGGCGAGTATTACATGGACCCCTGCATACACACACATACGTTTACGAACCCAAACACCGGGGACCTCATGACGCGCTCTGTCCGATTTCCGACCATGACACTACATTCGGAACACACCACGCATTCTGCTGTGGAATTATATGAGCGCCTCAGCATGTGTTAACTGTCATGCATACGTTTCATGGATCTCGGAACACACATGTGAGTCTAAACTTCCGCTGGCACCCAGTCTCGGATATTTACAACACGAGTGTGTACTGACTAGAGTATAATATACTTGACTCTCGTTTGGTATAAAAGCACACAGATGTTAGCTATGCGTAGGCCTTTGAGGGATTGTGTTGAGGGTTTTGTCTGCTGTACGTTTTTCGTTCCGTGATGTTATTCAATATTACAGTATTAATATACGTTGTGGTAGTATCACTCGGGGTGTGGTTTTATGCGTCCCGGGGTAGGCCTGATGCCACGAGCCGGAGACAAGTAGTGAAAAACTAAACGAGGGACGCATAAAACTATATCCATGTATACCCCGGGATACACTGCTACAACTAATGTATCTCACCGACATGTTTCCATCTACCTTTGTAAAAGAATTAAAACATATTGAATATTGATAGAAAACAGCTGCTTGAGTTGGAGTAAACATGTGCTGTGTCACGTGACATTCATTGACTTCTGTTTCTGCGCGGGGTGTAAGGGATTTATTCTTCCACTTAGAAATCCACGTGCAATCTGTTGTGTCCTTCGTCGCGGGGTATAAGGAAGTCATTTTCCTGCTTTGAAATCCACGTGCAGCCTGTCTTCTTCGTGGTTGGTTATAAGGGATTTATTCTCCGGCTCACAAATGTATTTCCCACGTGAGACCACGTGAACCAATCAGATCTCAACCTTCTGACATGGAGGTTGGATGATCTCCATTGGTGTGAGATATAATCCTGAACGACATGTCCCTATTGTCTGCACTACAGATATCGGGTTTCACATTCTTACGGAAAAATAACCATGTAAGCCGACCGATGCCGATTGATCTATGTCCTAATAACACCTTCATTTCAACCAAAACCTGCTCCGTTGAGAATGCCCACGGCTCGTGCCCTGTTGCTTTGTAATCTGGAGAACGCTCCCCGCTGGACAAAATATATTCACTTCCAATTCGGGCGTCCTAGAATTGAGACATTATAGGCAGACTGTATGCGGATAGTTTACAGGCAAGATGCCGACAGTATGAATACACCATACAAAGGGCATACAGAAAAAATACCGGCATCATACGGACAACTCACCATTATGTTGACAACATACAGACAACACGCAAAAAATCCGATAACATGCAGACAATATACAGATGACATACAGACAGCAGACAACACAGACAAGACACAGGTAACATTCCGATAACATACAGATAGCATACAGACAACATACAGACAACACACGGGAAATATTCCGATAACATACAGACAACACGCAAAAGATTCCGATATTATAGAAACAACATACAGACATCAGACAACATACAGACAACATACAGACATCAGACAACATACAGACAACGCGCAAAAAAATCCGATAAGATACAGACATCATACAGCGGTAACATACAGATAACAGGCAACCTTCAGACAACATACATACAGCAGTCAACATTCAGACAACATACAGATAACAGGCAACCTTCAGACAACATACATACAGCAGACAACATTAAAAAAAACACGCAAAAGATTCCGATATCATACAGACAACATACAAACAGCAGTCAACATTCAGACAACATACAGATAACAGACAACCTTCAGACAACATACAAACAGCAGACAACATTCAGACAACATACAGATAACAGACAACCTTCAGACAACACGCCAAAAAATCCGATAATATACAGACATCATACAGCGGCAACATACAGATAACAGGCAACCTTCAGACAACATACATACAGCAGACAACATTAAAAAAAACACGCAAAAGATTCCGATATCATACAGACAACATACAGACATCAGACAACATACAGACAACGCGCAAAAAAATCCGATAATATACAGACATCACACAGCGGTAACATACAGATAACAGGCAACCTTCAGACAACATACAAACAGCAGTCAACATTCAGACAACATACAGATAACAGACAACCTTCAGACAACACGCAAAAAAATCCGATAATATACAGACAACATACAGCGGCAACATACAGATAACAGGCAACCTTCAGACAACATACAAACAGCAGTCAACATTCAGACAACATACAGATAACAGACAACCTTCAGACAACACGCCAAAAAATCCGATAATATACAGACAACATACAGCGGCAACATACAGATAACAGGCAACCTTCAGACAACATACATACAGCAGACAACATTAAAAAAACACGCAAAAGATTCCGATTTCATACAGACAGCAGACAACACAGGAAACATTCCAATAAAATGCAGACAAGTTGCAGCCAGCAGACAATATACACACTGTCAAAGACAACCACGTCCACATGTACAAGCTAAATAAATACAATGTTACGTCTATGCAACTCAATGCAATCCATATTTGGCAATACTGTATGAAAGAATAATTATCTTATTCCGCACTCTGTGCGATCACTTCGTACACTGGATATTAAGTGTGCTGCGGTAATTCATTGATGGTGTTGATATACGTATATAGAATGTGGCTGCCGATTACTTCGAGTGATCTTAATGTATCTGTTGGGATCGTGCATTTACTTGAGAACATGTTTGCCATATTAACTGGGACTGTCAAGTAGTGTGACATTTATATATCTGTTGGGATCGTGAAATACTTTACCTGACGCTGTAGACTGGGACCATGGTACTCCGTTTGCTCGTAATTGTAGAATTACATATACACGATATATCTGTTGGCGTCGTCAATTGTTTGCGTGTATATTGGTATTTTATTTAGGGCTTTGGATTAGCGTTACGTGAAGTTAACTATCTGTGAATCGTGAGTCGAGTGCTGTATGTTAATATGTCAACTGGCGCCGCCGACTAACTCTGTGTATGTTAATATGTCAACTGGGGCCGCCGGTTGACTTTGTGTATGTTGATATATCAACTGGGCCAGCTGGTTAACTTTTTGTATGTTGATATATCAACCGAGGCCGCCGATTAACTTTGTGTATGTTAATATTTGAACTGGGGACGCCGGTTAACTTTTTATATGTTTTTATAGCAACTTGGCCCGCGGGTTAACTTTCTGTATGTTAATATATCAACTCTGTGAGTGTGTGTGTGTGTGTGTGTGTGTGTGTGTGTGTGTATGTGTATGTTGGTACATATTGAATTGAGTGAGGGCCAAACATTGTATAAACGTCGCAAGCGGGTTAACTTTGTGTATGCTAATATATGAACTGGGGCCGCCGGTTAACTTTGTGTATGCTAATATATGAACTGGGGCCGCCGGTTAATTTGTGTATGTTTATATATGAACTGGGGCCGCCGGTTAATTTGTGTATGTTAATATATGAACTGGGGCCGCCGGTTAATTTGTGTATGTTTATATTTGAACTGGGGCCGCCGGTTAATTTGTGTATGTTTTTTTTATAGCAACTTGGCCCGCGGGTTAACTTTGTGTACGTTAATATATCAACTCTGTGTGTGTGTGTATGTTGGTACATATCTGCTTGGGTTGGTGGGGTGGGGTTGTTTGAGGGTGTACTTAAGAGTCGGGTAAACCGAGAGTCTTCTGTAGAAAAGCCTGCTGGTGTAACCGTGCACCTTCCCAAGGCGTAGGGCCGTGATGTTATAGAAGATGCTTGCACAGTATGTCACAACATACAGAAAAATCGATGCGTACTCCAAGCGGAGCCTAGCCCGCGCTTCTTACATTTCTGATGGTACCTCTGTTGATGTTACAGGAGATCACTAGATGTGGACGTCAGTAATCCGCTCCTCGTCGTGAGGCAAGCTGCAGTTGGATACCTGGGTTCTCGCGACCAGTTGCTTTTGGATAACAGGCGAGGATGGATATTTCTTGAAGCAAATGATTCACCTGTTAATGGCTTGAAAGAAGCGGTAGAACAAGTTGAGTGATCTCGTGTTAGGTGGTTCGTCCGTCTTGAGTTGTGTGTTCGGTCAGAAGACGACTGTCTCGGCAGACGACACAGCGGAGCAGACGACAGCCTCAAGCAGACGACATCCGTTCCTGTTGTACGTGCTGAATGAATTCGGACCGCGGTGAAGTTTTCGTATGGAAAGTGTGATCTGATTTTTGAAAATATTCTCTTACACTCTTTTTGGATTATATACACAGTTTGGAGATTTCTCTTCGAGGATGATTGTGCCCCTCTACTCAAAAGCTTCGAAGTTTCCCTCATTGATTTTCTGCAGTGCCGGTGCAGGTTCGTGATAGTGGCTGGAGAGATAGGAAGTGTAGAGGACGATCTTGTATATCGTGTCTTTGTGTTGACTCCGATGACTCTCGCCGTGGACACGATAGGTTGTGTATGAGGATAGTCGTGGGAGGTATTTCAATGGATTATTCTATCCCGTAATTCCCATCAACAGTCTACAAGGAAGGCCTCTCTCTCTCCCGATGGCTCCTCAGGGACGGAGGTACCTAGCACAGGGAAGTTTTCAGAACGGAAAGGGTACATTCTTAGGCGAGGCCAGCGACGGAGACACATCGAATGACCCGCCACCCCCTAGCTCAAGTAGCTGGCCAACACTAGTTCCACACCTCAATGACTCCGGCCCCAGCCATCTTCTAAGCCAGAACGATTCAACTATGCATCTTCGACCTGACACTGAGATCTCGACGACGGGGTCCCTGCTATCAACTGCAGACTTCTTCGACGAAATAAGCTGGGGGCCATGGGAGTACCCATGCGATGCGAATGATTCGTTGTGCTCCTTTAACGTGTCCATGGGAAATAGTACATCAGGAGAAGGGGAAGAACTAAAGTATTGGACGATAGCGTTAATCATTGTGCCACTATTCACGGTCTTTGGAAACATCCTCGTTGTTCTCAGTGTGGTGAAGGAAAGAAGTTTGAAAACTGTGACCAACTATTTTATATGCTCTCTTGCCGTAGCTGATATTATGGTGGCGGTTTGTGTAATGCCGCTTGCTATATATTTGGAGGTAAGTCATACTTTTATTTTTCTTATCATACATATAGATCACTTTGTGTAATGTAAACCGATGAATAGAAGTAGACGCCGAAGGTACCAATCAAAATTGACATTGATCCCCTTGTTTATCCGAAATACACACACCATATGCATATGTGTGTTCCAATGTCCCAAACGCTCCGAGTGAAGAGCCTATGGTAATGTTTAATCATAACCCGAGATGTTCGTAATTATTACAGAACATTCTGATTTGCCAACGTCGTTGTGTTCAGATGTGGTAAGTCTTGTTTCGAAAACCAATTCAGGGTGATGGCTTGAAAGATACTGGAGGTATGAAACGTTTTTCGTATTTCGAATTACAAAACTTGGGTAGAGTGACATTTCCAAATTTATCACTATCAAATAAAATCTTATTGATGCAGAAAACATGTAAGCAGGGCATTACAACGTATCATTACCTGAAGCACGCATGCAGTTATAGACCAGTTGCCTGAGACCACGCTGCGCCTCAAACACTATGGTTGTAGCAGTGCCTAGACGACGGCTCCAGTATGTGAAACGTTAGCTGGAACTGGAAAATTTGATGTTTTCGTTGACACATTAATGTGAATACTAGAACGAGATGATGTGATCGACACTTTGACGTGAACACTATCTTATCCGCTATTTAAGGCATGCAATCAAGGTTGAAAGACATACGCAACCTTTATGTTGTGTAGGTATTCATTTCGATACCTTACCTTAATGTTGTACCACTCTTGCAATATATCAAGTCGGATACATTTTTCGAATCTTTAAAAGTCATGCAATGCAGATTTATTAAAAAGTGATATGGAATTGGCGGTGTCTGGTGTGCGAAGTGTCCTGATTATACAATGATTATGACTCCACAGTCCAGTAACAAGGCACAGGGTAATTGAGTAACTATAAGGTAACAAGGCACAGGGTAACTGAGTAACTATAAAGTAACAAGGCACAGGGTAACTGAGTAACTATAAGGTAACAAGGCACAGGGTGACTGAGTAACTATAAGGTAACGAGGCATAGGGTGACTGAGTAACTATAAGGTAACAAGGCACAGGGTGACTGAGTAACTATAAAGTAACAAGGCACAGGGTGACTGAGTAACTATAAGGTAACAAGGCATAGGTTGACTGAGTAACTATAAGGTAACAAGGCACAGGGTGACTGAGTAACTATAAGGTAACAAGGCACATGGTGACTGAGTAACTATAAGGTAACAAAGAATAGGGTGACTGAGTAACTATAAGGTAACAAGGCACAGGGTGACTGAGTTACTATAAGGTAACAAGGCACAGGGTGACTGAGTAACTATAAGGTAACAAGGCACAGGGTGACTGAGTAACTATAAAGTAACAAGGCACGGGGTATCTTAATAACTACAAGGTAACACGGCACAGGGTGACTGAGTAACTATAAGGTAACAAGGCACAGGGAGACTGAGTAACTATAAGGTAACAAGGCACAGGGTGACTGAGTAACTATAAGGTAACAAGGCACAGGGTGACTGAGTAACTATAAGGTAACAAGGCACAGGGTGACTGAGTAACTATAAGGTAACAAGGCACAGGGTGACTTAGTAACTATAAGGTAACAAGGCACAGGGAGACTGAGTAACTATAAGGTAACAAGGCACAGGGAGACTGAGTAACTATAAGGTAACAAGGCACAGGGTGACTGATTTACTATAAGGTAACAAGGCACAGGGTGACTGAGTAACTATAAGGTAACAAGGCACAGGGTGACTGAGTAACTATAAGGTAACAAGGCACAGTGTGACTGAGTAACTATAAGGTAACAAGGCACAGGGTAACTGAGTAACTATAAGGTAACAAGGCACAGGGTGACTGAGTAACTATAAGGTAACAAGGCACAGGGTGACTGAGTTACTATAAGGTAACAAGGCACAGGGTGACTAAGTAACTATAAAGTAACAAGGCACAGGGTGACTGAGTTACTATAAAGTAACAACGCACAGGGTGACTGAGTAACTATAAGGTAACAAGGCACAGGGTGACTGAGTAACTATAAAGTAACAAGGCACAGGGTGACTGAGTTACTATAAAGTAACAAGGCACAGGGTGACTGAGTAACTATAAAGTAACAAGGCACAGGGTGACTGAGTAACTATAAGGTAACAAGGCACAGGGTGACTGAGTAACTATAAGGTAACAAGGCACAGGGTGACTGAGTAACTATAAGGTAACAAGGCACAGGGTGACTGAGTTACTATAAGGTAACAAGGCACAGGGTGACTAAGTAACTATAAAGTAACAAGGCACAGGGTGACTGAGTAACTATAAAGTAACAAGGCACAGGGTGACTGAGTAACTATAAGGTAACAAAGCATAGGGTGACTGAGTAACTATAAGGTAACAAGGCACAGGGTGACTTAGTAACTATAAGGTAACAAAGCATAGGGTGACTGAGTAACTATAAGGTAACAAGGCACGGGGTAACTGAGTAACTATAAGGTAACAAGGCATAGGGTAACTGAGTAACTAAAAGGTAACAAGGCATAGTTGACTGAGTTACTATAAGGTAACAAGGCACAGGGTGACTGAGTTACTATAAGGTAACAAGTACTTGTATCACCTCTACATTCATGCGTCAGAATCAAGACCCGTGAAGATCTGGGGTAGAATAGGTCTTCAGCAACCCATGCTTGCCGTAAAAGGCGACTATGCTTGTCGTAAGAGGCGATCGGGATCAGGTGGTCAGGCTCACTGACTCGGTTGATGCATGTCATCGTATCCCAATTTCGTAGATCGATGCTCATGATATCAATCACAGAATTGTCTGCTCCTCACACGATTATTTACAGACCACCGTCATATAGCTGGGACTATTGCTGAGTGCGGCGTTAAACAACATGCAACACATAACGTCTTATCCAACTCTTGCCTTGCACTCAATCATTATAGTGGTGGAGGTACTTATTTCCCTCAACTGTAAAATGTTCCAACACTGACAAGCGTTAGTTTCTGTCGTTGCCTTTAAATATGTAAAGTATTGACTATACGATACCCAGCACAGATGGAGACGACAATCGTGTCAGGTTGTTCGACACTGTGCACAGACACACCCTCTTACTCCGAACGAAATCGTTCTACGAAAAAAATATGAACACACTTCTTGATTAACGAATCAAATACAAGAAGCATTGTTGCAAATGTACACATTCACGACAGCGATTGGTCAGGTTTCCGGAATAACGAGGCTCAGAACTAATTGAATTTCAATGCAGCGCGTTCAAGACGTTGTGATGCGTTCAGTGCGTTATAACGTGTTCAATAAGTCAATGCGTTCATTACATTTTAACATGCATAATTACAGAGTAGAATCTTTCCAAGTACGCTGTCAAGGCCATTCATTTATCAGTTAGTTGCCCAGCCACCCGGGACTGAATACAAAGGTAATGCAGATCTCAGGTCCAGAAGAAATAGTAAAAGGACATATTCTCTTAATATAACTCGTCGGTAGTATATAACTCCTTAATGTTAGAGCGCTGTACATACAATTTGAAAATGATTCAAATTGCGTGGAAGTATGACAAATAGGGGCAGTGCGATGGTCGTCTAGAGGTTAAAGCGTCCTGTCGTCACACCAAAGTTTCATGTTTGATTCCCCACATGGGTACTATATGTCTCCGACGTGATTGCTGGAACATATCTCAAATCGGCGTAAAACCCAAATTCACTCACTCACTGAAGAGTAAGCATTACGTTGGTGGTGGGGTGCTAGGTTGGAGGGATGGTAGGCTAGTGGGATGGTCTTGTGCATAAAACGGAGATTCAGTTGCAATGCCCATAATTGGACTCAGTTATATATGTCCTTATTGGGAATATGAACATATCCACACAAGTCTCAAATCGCTGATTAACAAGAGAGTTACAGTGAAACTTCGTAAATCAGTAGGTTTCCAGTGAACGTGTCCAAATGAATAGAACAGATTAAAGAAATCATTGGCACAGAATAGTCCTTTGCTTATTTACACAGAAGGGTTCCCATGTAAATCGTCCGGAGTAATGGGGTTTCCGGATTTACAGGGGTCCGGATTAAAGGAACTTCGCTGGCCTTGTGATAAATGTACAGATACTATACAAGCATAATCCTAGGTGAGGTGAAATGGGGTAGAACGTCGCTGTCAATACATTTGGCCTTATATAGCGACGTACATGCACGTGTATGTGTGTGACTGTTTGTACTAGTTCGGGCGAATGTCGGGGCGGTGGGGTAGCCTAGTGGTTAAAGCGTTCGCTCGCCACCCGGGTTTGATTCCCCACATGGGTATAACGTGTGAAGCCCATTTCAGGTGTGCCCCGCCGTGATATTGCTGGAATAGTGCTAAAAGCGGCGTAAAATCAATCTCACTAGGCGAATGTCGGTTTTATAGTGATAGCCCACTGAGATACCATGCCGCAGTTTAACATGAATACCCCACTCAGACACAGTATACTGACTCCGAGACGACCTGTCCTTGTTTTAGCCCCTTAATGCCGAGCGCCAAACAATACCATCTTTTGACGCCTTTTGGTATCGAACCCTGACCTCCCGCTCTCCGTGTACGCTTGTTCCACTAAACCAAGGTGGCGGTTTCGCACACCTGGAACCATATGGTGATTTTGATTTATATACACTAAGTACACCGCCTTGGAATCATGCACCGTGAGCATTGCTCGTTCAGCTAAACCTAAGTAGCGTTCTCGTGTATTTACTGCACATGGGACTTAAGTTGGGTGAAGGTATGTTTCAAAGTGGTAATAGATCTCCTTAATGCCCAATCTGGGCATGGCTATTGCTAAATACCCGCTCGATGCTGAATAGTAGAATTGTGCGTGGCATGTCAGTCTTCCCTATATAATCGCGTTTATCGACTGCACTGGGTCCAGTACTTCGCTATCGATCACATATTTAAGCTAATGCCACGAATTAAAGATACATTTAGACGTCCGAGTAGTTTAAGAAAGAATTAACGCTGGACACGTA